GATTCTGAAGATTTTTTTTTGGCCAATAGGGTCATTTTGGATTCGAAAACTTTATATTCTGATAGATGTGATCTTTCCAAATGTCATTTCTTATTGTAAATTTTTAATTTTTTTATTTGCATGTCACATAAAATCACTTTATCATTTATCTTTTCTGTAATCCTACATATAGCCAGTTTTGTACTTTTGTTCTAGAAAAATACTTATCTAGAAACCTCTCAGGATTATTTGAGTTTGACATCATTTTTATTAAAAACTATGAAAAAGAAAACAAATTACAAATTTTAAAGATAAGAGAATTAATTAAAAAATTAGTATAAACAAAAATAACATCAATTATCTCAAAAAAGCATTAAAAATCTTTCTCTAATTTTATTTGGAACTCACAATTTAAATCTATTGTAAAAAATTTTCCACAAATTAAAAACAAAATAAATCATGTGACTTGGCACTTAGATAAAATATTTTTTGTTAACCAATCATTGGCATTGTTTAGAATTATTGTTTTAAAGTAAGTTTTAATACTCTGCAATATGAACCACATGAGACAAAATATTTGTAAAAAAATTAAATTCTAAAAATATGCTCATGGTTTTTTGAAAGGAAACAAAAATAATTTTGTAATCTCAAGTATAGATTTTAAAATATGAAAATCATATTTTAATTATGTGCTTCAAGTTGCGCATCTATTATTTAACAGTTATAATATCAATATCAAAATAATATAAAACATTTAATATTATAATACTTGCATGTTTGCCTTTTGTTTTTTTTATAAAGTATATGAAAAAATGCTATATTTCAAAACTATAATTATTTTAATAGGCGTGATTATTTAAATTCTTTCAAAAAATCACATTATGTAAAATAATAAGTTTATGAAAATTTGATATTTCAAAATATTATAGGGTGGAGCTGGCTCCAGTACCAGCTCCTGCAGGAAATACTATAGCATTAGCTCAGCTTAGTGTAAAATCATCAGCTCCGGATAGCTCTGGCTCCAGCTCCAAAGCTGCTCCAAAGTATATATATATATATATATATATATATATATATATATATATATATATATATATATATATATATATATATATATATATATATATATGTATACGCATATATACATATATATACTATACTATACTATATATAGCTCTGGCTCCAGCTCCAAAGTATATATATGTATATATACTTTGGAGTATATATACTTATTTATATACTTATTTATATACATATATACATATATATACTATACTATACTATATTGTACTATACTATACTCAATTCATATGTAAGAACCCAATTTCCTAAAATCATTAGGAAATTGGGTTCTTACATATTCATTGATTTTGCATTCTTAATGTAAAAATGTGCACTTTAATTTTTTGGAAAAAGCAGAAAAAAAATGAAGAATAATGAAAGAAAAGATTGCTGCCCCATGCCAAACTCTCAATTGATGTAGCAGCAGACTATAATATAGTCAATGTATGTGCAGTAGACAACACCTTGTCAAGACTTATTGAGGCCTTAATAATTGCAATTGAGGCACAAAAAAAAAAAAAGGGCTATATAATTCAGTATGAGAGCTGAAATAAGATTTAAAAATAACCTGGTGGTGTTACCCATTTCAATATCACGTTGGTGTTACCCAAATCAAACCTAGATTAAATGAAGTTAAATTATGTGGCCATGTAGCTAGGAAAAGCCATTTATTTGAAAAATCAATGCTACTAAGCATTTCAAGTTTGCCAAGATGCGTGTATGTAAGCCTTGACAATTTTGGGAAATCATCCTTGGTCAGGTGAAAGTAAATTTGATCTAAAAACATAATGTTTTCAAATGGTACTCAGAAGGTCAGGTCATAAAAATACAGTAATAAAACCATTTAAATGTTTGAATGATAATTATGTAAAAATGATTACAAAAGTTTGAATGACAATTACATTCGATAAGGGATCATCCATAAAGTACGTACGCTCGGAGAGGAAGAGGAGGTCTGCAAATGGTGTTTCTGAGATAAGGGGGCAATAGGTCAATTATAAAAGTATGGTGACACTAAATTTTAGAAAATATCACAAAATGTTGGGTTAGTAGGTTAAAAGCGTAGGGGAGGTAGAGAGTACTCAAAAAAGCGTACAGGAAATTGCGTGGGAGGTAGATTAGCGAAAAAAAAGCGTACGTACTTTATGGACGACCCCTAATAAGCGCTATTTACTAATGAAATAAGTTCAAAAACAAAACAAAAATTATTTTCTATTTCAATCTAATTTGAAAATATTACAAATATTGTTTAATAATAAAATTTTACTTTAAAAAAAATCATCTTATTGTTATCACAAAATATATTGTAAATAATGTTATCGCAATTTTTTTTGGTTCAAGATTCTTGTAAATGTGTACTAAGTGTTTTTAATCTATGTTAAACTTTTTTTTCATTTGCCAAGTGAAAACACAGCAATAAATATTTTTTTTATAAATAGTACTAAAATAGTTAAATACTGTTATTATTTTTCTTAATATAAAATAAGTTATATTTTTTATTTGTTACTCACTAACCTTTTAAATATAAATAATCATTATCAGTTGTAAAGTTGCTATTACAAATTTAAGAAATTGATTTAAAAAAAGTTAAACATACCTTAATTCATTTATGCAAATACCTAGAAATGAAAGAAGTTAGTTTTTTTAATTATTAAAAAAAATTTAATTGAATATTAAAAAGAAATGTAAAATTTAATTTATTTCTTTAGTAATAAAAAAATTCCATAATATATTTACATAACAGTGTTAATTTTTAAATTGAACTCGCTTTGCTGTAATTTATTATATTGCTGTAGTTTAAAAAAGTTAGTTTCCTTAAAAATTTTTTAGAGATCCTTATGACATCAAATTCACATTAAGCTAATGCGTTACACATTTTTTATTTAAAATGAGACTCATACTGAAAATAAGGCTCTTTTATAGTTTTGGGCTGTTTTTCAAGTAAAAATGTAGGTAAATTACAATTTATTGATGGTAAGTTTACTGCTTAAGGCTATGTTGATATTACCAAAAAAATTTGTCTGATTCAATTGATCAATTGAGTTTAATAGGCAACTATATCTTTTAACAGGACAATGACCTCAAACTTATTGCCAAAATTACAAACACATTTTTTGAAAAAATCATTTTTATTTGTTATCATGGCCACCTCAGAGCCCTGACCTTAACCCCTGACCTTAACCCCTGACCTTAACCCCATTAAACATTTTTGGAATGAAAAGGTACGAAACTGTTTTGTACCCCAAAATGAAAGAGATTCTAAACCTCGATTTAAAGGAGTTCAGCAGATAAAATGGGATTTACAGGCTTGGCAGGAATGGTGTGCAATCGCAAGCTGGAACTGACCACGCTTAAAGTATTTTTTTAACAATTTGACCAAAGCAGTTTTAATGTTTTAACAGTTTAAATGCTATTAAATTGTGACATTATGTATAACTTTTAATCATTGATCTTTTCTAAAGTTTTTATTCTATGCGAAGGCTTTAAATAATAAAAAAATATATAGCTGCAGTGGTTGTTTAAAATAAATGTACTTTGTGTAAATTAACAAATAATGTTATATTTAAATTTTAATAATAAAAAAAATTGTTACATTATGTATAACTTTTAATCGTTGATCTTTTCTGAAGTTTTATTTTGCGCGAAGGTTTTAAATATTAAAAAAAATATACAGCTACAGTGGTTGTTTAAAATAAATGTACTTTGTGTAAATTAACAAATAATGTTAAATTTAAATTTTTTTTATTTAGGCATGTATTTTTTATGATAAATTTAAATATAATAATTTGTTTAAAACTATTTTTCCATGTCTTTATAAAAATCTTTTGAAAGATAATTTTTTATGATCTTTGATTAAGTATGAATAACTTTTTCGTTCAAATTATAAATAACTTTTTTCCGTTGCAAAAAATCATTCCGTTGCAAGGGAATGATTTAATTGCTTTATTTTTTTGTTTCTCAGGGTGGCCACTGGTCATGGAAATCATGGAAATGTCATGGAATTTTATTTGGTTATGGAAAAAGTCATGGAATTCCAAAATTTTCATTGGAAGTCATGGAAAATTCATGGAACTTTTTAATATGATCTTTATTTTTTTCTACTTGTGATATTTTTAGGATGCAAAAAAAAGAACTAGTGATTTATCATTAAGGTTTTTGAAGAGGAAAAAACATGGAAAAGTCATAGAGTTTCATTTTCAAATTTGAGTGGCCACCCTATTTCTGTTTTTCTGAAAAATTGTCAAAATTTTTTTTTTTTAATTTGACTAACTAATCAATCAATATAAAAAATATATTTTTATAATAAAATAATAAATTTAAATATGTTTAAATAAAAATAGAAATAAAATAAAAATTTAAAAAAATATATAAATATGATAAAAATAGTATAAAAAAAGTAAAAAACAACAACAGAACGGGAACAAAAATACCATGTCCCCAAAAGTCGTCAAATAGGTATATATAAATATGCTATACATATATATATATATATATATATATATATATATATATATATATATATATATATATATATATATATATATATATATATGTATATATATATATGTATATATATATATGTATATATATATATATATATATATATATATATACATATACACATATATATATACATATATATATATATATATATATACATATATATATATATATACATATATATATATATATATATATATATATATATGTATGTATATATATATATATATCTATATGTATATATATATATATATATATATATATATATATATATATATATATATATATATATATATATATATATATATGTATATATATTTATGTATATATATATATATATATATATATATATATATATATATATATATATGTGGATAAAATTTGATAAATATGGCTGTATACTTTTTATTTAATATTTTAAAGAATTTTTTTAATACAATTTTTTTTCTCCATAAATTATCAAGTTAAAAATAATAATGGGTGACTATGATGATAAAGTTAAATTAGCTGATGCTTTTGAAGTTGGTATTGACGAAAGTGATGTTTGTGATAAAATACGGTATTCAGTCACCTGTCAAGAATTAGTTGAACTAATGAAGAGAAATGATACATCAGTTGCAATTAATGAAAAGTTTAACGGTATTAGTGGTCTTGTAAAAGCTTTAAATAGTTCTGTTAGTCAAGGTCTTTTAGGTACCCATTCTGATATTGAAGATCGAAAAAAAAAATTTGGTAGAAATTATATTGAAACAAGACCTCCAAAAACATTTCTGAGTCTAGTTTGGGAAGCACTTAGAGATCCAATACTTAGAATATTATCTGTTTGTGCAATAATATCTTTTGTGCTTGGAATGGTTATTGATAATGTTAAAACTGGCTGGATTGAAGGTTTTGCTATTTTGGTTGCTGTTGCTATATGTTCACTTGTTGCTGCTCTGAATGACTGGCAAAAAGAAAAACAATTTAGACAACTACAGAATAAGATTGATGATGAGCAAGTTGTAAATGTATTACAAAGTGGAGATATTGTTAAACAAAAAGTTAGTGAGCTTGTAGTTGGTGATATTTGTTTCCTGAATTATGGGGATTTAATTCCAGCTGATGGAATTTTACTTCATGCAAATGATCTAAAAGTGGATGAAAGTTCGTTAACAGGGGAGTCAAATTTAGTAAAAAAGAATTTAAATTATCCAGCATTGTTTTCTGGTACATTTGTTATGGAAGGCAGTGGTAAATATATTATTACAGCTGTTGGAATTAATTCTAAGTCAGGTAGTATAATGCTGTTATTAGGAGCTGCTGAAAAAACTAATGAAGTGCATATAGAAATAGATGAATCTACTGAAGAAGTAAAAACTTCGAAAAATCAAAATAAAGAGAAAGAAAAATCTATTTTGCAAATCAAATTAACAAAGTTGGCCGTATTAATTGGATGGATTGGTGTAGCTGCTGGCATAATTACTGCGTTTGTTATTATTTTAAGATTTTGTATTCAAACATATGCTGTAGAAAAAAAACCTTGGGATAAAAAACATTTGATAGATTTTCTTCATGCTATTATTGTTGGAATAACAATTATGGTTGTTGCAATCCCTGAAGGTTTGCCACTTGCTGTAACAATATCCTTAACATATTCTATCAAAAAAATGTTACTTGACAATAATTTAGTGCGTCATTTGACTGCTTGTGAGACAATGGGAAATGCAACTGTAATTTGTTCAGATAAAACAGGCACTTTAACAACAAATCGAATGACTGTTGTTGAAAGTTACATGCAATGTACTCATTTTAATGGAACTCCAATGATTAATGCTCTTGACAGTAGTTTTTTAGAACTTTTTTGTCAATCTGTCTCCATTAATAGCAACTCGGGATCACAAATAAAAGTATGATTTTTATTGTTTTACATTTATTTTTATATATATTTAGTTTTCAGTTTTATATACAAGACTCAAATTAAGCATAATACAATTGTGAAATGCAATAGCTTTTTGCAATTGGTTTTTTCCTAAAAAAAAAAGTTTTCATAATGATTTTTTCATCTTTACTTTTTTTTCCTTTTCTAATTAAGAATTTTTTTGGTCATTTTAAAAAATATAAAAGGTTTTTGTCTGAGGTTTTCATCAGCGGTTACCCATAAAGTATGTCACGCTAAATTTAACTTTTAAGTAGAAGTATGGTCATTCGCTGGAAACCTAAAATATCCTATTTCTATTTTAAAGTTAAACCTAATTTGATTTACTTTATGGATAAAGTGCATTACAGTAAGTTTATTTACAAACTAAATCAAAATTTTAGCATAGATAAGCATTAGACTTATAGAAATTCAATGTATAGCTTTTTACACTAACAGTTTAATACACTTTGAAAATAAAATTAAAAAAAAAAAAAAAATTTATTGACAGTATAAGCAGGGTATTAATTTTTTTAAACTGTATAAAGTGGTTTAAATATTGTAATATTTTCACTTTTACTTTTAAAAGTATCATATTAAGTAAAAAATATTACTAAAATTAATATCTTAATATACATTACTTGCACATTAGATTATAGCTGATTATAACTTAAGTTTTGAATTATAACTTAAGCTGTAAATAAATTAAACTATTTTAAACACAGTCGAACAAGAATATTAGGAGATAGTATTTAAATATCAGAAATATTGTGTTAAAAATAAAGCAATTACAAACTAATGCAAACCCCCTTACTGCAAAGCAGCAAGCCAGGGCAAGAGATTTTTTTAAAATGTCAATTTTTTACGCTTAAATTCTTTTTGCCTTAATTTGAGCCATGATTGCTGTCCTCGTTTCTACCAATATTTAGTTAAACTTCAATATTTCACATTATATCCACATTGTACATGTTATCTAGAATTACTCGATTTGTTTTGTTCTCTAAGTTAATAACTGAAAAATAATTTTATATGAAAATCCTGCACACGTTTCCTTGAAATACTATTAGACATTTTTTCTTTCAACAATGGATATCTGTCAAGATAAAGCTAACACCATTTTCAAATATTAAAGTATGTTGTGCATGTTATGTAAGTATGTTGTGTATGTTATGTAAGTATGTTGTGTATGTTATGTAAGTATGTTGTGTATGTTATGTAAGTATGTTGTGTATGTTATGTAAGTATGTTGTGTATGTTATGTAAGTATGTTGTGTATGTTATGTAAGTATGTTGTGTATGTTATGTAAGTATGTTGTGTATGTTATGTAAGTATGTTGTGTATGTTATGTAAGTATGTTGTGTATGTTATGTAAGTATGTTGTGTATGTTATGTAAGTATGTTGTGTATGTTATGTAAGTATGTTGTGTATGTTATGTAAGTATGTTGTGTATGTTATGTAAGTATGTTGTGTATGTTATGTAAGTATGTTGTGTATCTTATGTAAGTATGTTGTGTATGTTATGTAAGTATGTTGTGTATGTTATGTAAGTATGTTGTGTATGTTATGTAAGTATGTTGTGTATGTTATGTAAGTATGTTGTGTATGTTATGTAAGTATGTTGTGTATGTTATGTAAGTATGTTGTGTATGTTATGTAAGTATGTTGTGTATGTTATGTAAGTATGTTGTGTATGTTATGTAAGTATGTTGTGTATGTTATGTAAGTATGTTGTGTATGTTATGTAAGTATGTTGTGTATGTTATGTAAGTATGTTGTGTATGTTATGTAAGTATGTTGTGTATGTTATGTAAGTATGTTGTGTATGTTATGTAAGTATGTTGTGTATGTTATGTAAGTATGTTGTGTATGTTATGTAAGTATGTCAACAATAGTTATTTTAATTAGGCTACTACAGCAAAGTAAATTTTTTACAGTGAAAAGATGTCTATTACTTAATATGTATTATTGCAATGTTACCCATACTGCAAGAAAAATGTTTTTGGGTAAAATTGAATATTCAAAGTTACCCTGATTAATTATATTTTAGCTGAGTGAAAATATCTATCCCTTTTGTAGAAAAAAACATGTAAGTTCATATTATTTTAAGTTATGTTATAATTTGACAATTCAATAAAATACAAAAATCTTATGTGATATTCACAATATAATACATAATATTCACAATATAAAAGAAAAATCTATTTCACTATGGTAAAACTTCTGTAAAAAAAAGTAATTTATCATATTCCTGTTGGTTGAAGAACAGGCAAAAAAAAATTACCAAAGAAAATAAATTGAAAACATTAACAGGTTTAATTCAATGTTATCATCAAATTAAATATTATCCAGAATGACTGTATGAAATAGTTTATTGTTTTACCATTCTGCACAGCGTGTAGAATATCAATGTTGCTAATTTATATCATACGAACTTAATGTGGTTTGGAGTTAAAAAACAGTAAGTTTTGCATAATATATTTTGCATAAATTGCATAAATAAAATTTTTTTCATAATCAAAAAGATTTTTTTTATTTAAAAAAAAACAAAGTTTTATGGTTGCTTTTACTCATTTAAATCTATAGTGGAGACTTTAATAAAATCTTTCATAAAAAGTTTTTTTATTTAATAAATTAGTTTAAAAATAAAAAGGAAATAGTTATTTCTTTAAGAAATATTGCAAAACCTTTTTATATTCCTTTAAATTTAAAATTTAATTTTTAATATTTAAAATGATATTAAAGTTTTTCAATTAAAATTTTTTTATTCAACTATCCACTTTTTTTAAACAAAAAATTAAATTAATAATCACAAATTTCAACAAAGTGAAATACCATTCAGTAAAGCTTGAGAAGCATACAACCTATTGAATGTCAAAAATCTTCATAAGAGTGTGCACCAGAAAGTTTAATCACATGGTTAAGGCATAGCAACCATGCTAAGCGAATTGTTTTTCATTTCAGTGCTTATCAAATTAGTCAATTGGAGATTTAACAGAACTTTTGCATATGTTATTGCAACAGTTAGGGTCATTTGGTATCATCATCAGTATCAAGCACATCAGAGTCTGTTTTCACTTAATACTAAGACAAGAAAGGTGTTAAGGTTTTACAAAACAATGAAGTTTTTTTTAGGATTTACAAAATGATGAGTAAATTAAGCATCAGTGTAGCAGACATTATTTTGTATCTCAGAGCTTCTTTTAATGAAGACAAAACTCTATATTTACAACATCCAAATCAATGTAGGAGGATGAGAAAAAATTTAATTCAATAGATCAATATTTAGTGATAAGTACTTTATACTAGCAATTAAATTGATTCCAGGTTTGGTCTACATAAATTAAGTAGTTTAAATTTCTTTAAATCAAAACACTTAACTCATTTGACTTGTTTCTCTGCGCAGCAGCCTTGTTTGGGTTTGTATTTTGGAGTTATAGAGTAAGGAGAGGGTTTTAACCACAACTAAATTAGCCTCCTTGATTGTAGTGGCCTTCGTAGCCTTAGGGAGGTGAGCTTAAATTGGAAAAAAATGGTATTTACAATGTTAACAATAATATTTGACTGATATGTTTAAATGGCTCATTAATCCCGCAAGTACTTCAACCAGTAGGTTTTTTTTTACTTTTTTATTTGTTAATTCACCTCCCCAAGGCCAAGAAGGCCACTACAGGCAAGGAGGCTACTTAATTGTGGTTATAACCCTCTCTCAACTCTATAACTCTGAAACACAAACCTTGACGAACAAACCTGCTGGGCGGAGAAACAATGTTTCTTTTGCATTTAACAAATTAATTACAAATCTTTATGCAGATAGAAATTTAAACAATTTGATAAAATAAAACTTTAATTTAATTACAAGCAAATTGGTTTGTTATCCATTCAACTACCAGCAAATCGGTTTTGCTACTAGTTTTTGGATTCAAATTGATTAGTAGAATTTTTTTTTTTAATTTTTTTTTTGTTTAAATTAAAAATGTAGATTTTATTTATAAGTCAAAACATATAAATTTTACTTTTGAGACTGGTTAGACAAAACTTATACATCTACAAACATATCCATACTGATTATAATTGTTTTGTGAAAAAAACCCAGATAAACACAAATAATTGCTGGATTTCAAAACACTAGTTTGTTTCAAAAGTTGATCAATCAAATTTTGACATATTATTAGGAGAAATCAAAAATTAAACTTGGAAATTTTAAGTACCATTGTTAATTAAAGTTTAGTTTATTATCTTCATCCAAGCCTGTTTCAAACTAACCTGTTTCAATATCCTTCACCCAACCTGCTTTATTATTTTCTTTCCAACATTTATAATTATCTAACATCAGTCAGCATCAAACTCAAATGATTCACAAATTTCTAAATCATCATCAATGAATCCTGGTGAAATTGTATCAAATATTGCAACACTTCACAGAAAAACTTGAAGACAGTATAAATAATGTTTTACAATGCTAACATGTTGACACGCACACACACACTCTCTCTCTCACATACACACACACACAAGTTAAAGAGCAGTATATAAGTACATCAGAGATGCTCTAGATACTTATGCAAGACAGAAAATCAGTTTAAGAAATGCAAGAAAACCAAATTTTCAACTTTTTTTTTCAACTTAATGACTAAAATTTAATTAGTTAACTCTTTTTTTTGTTTTTATTCATAAGAAAAAGATTTTTTATTTTAATTTTACAATTATTTTCTCTCAATATTTATATATTTATATATTGTAAAAAGTAATTGAGTGTTTAAAAGAAAAATGAAAAGTTTTTTTAAAAAAAAAATTAAATAAGGCTTAAGTCTTTATCTTTTCACATTTACGCTTACCCAATTTTTGATTGTGTATTAATAAATTCGATCTTTTAATTTTGTTTTTTTGAATAAAATTAAAATGTAGTACAAAAATAATATAATGTAAAATTAAAATATAAATTTGTTGTTAATTATAAAAGTTTTGTTTAAATGTTGATAGTAAAATTGTTTGAAACAGTTTTGCAATAAGTTAATAAATAAGGATATTCGATGTTTATTCTGTGAAAAAATGTTTATAGAAATTAAAAATGTATAATATCTTTAGCCTTCAGAAACACCTAATGGATTTCCCAATCAAGTTGGTAATAAAACAGAATGTGCTTTACTTGCCTTTGTTTTGGAACTTGGTAAAACATATCAAACTTATCGCGATGAAGTTCCTCAAGAAAAGTTTGTGCGTGTATATACTTTTAATTCCTTGCGTAAATCTATGTCAACAGTTATTAATAAGCCTGAGGGTGGTTATCGAATGTTCTCTAAAGGTGCTTCTGAAATACTTTTAAAACAATGCAATAGAATAGTGAATAAAAATGGAAGCATTGAGAATTTTGATCAAGAACAAAAAGAAAATCTAAAAGATACTGTGATTAAAGATATGGCTTCTAATGGATTAAGAACTATTTGCGTTGCTTATAAAGACTTTTCTTCTGAGCAAGGTCAGTTTGTTCACAAATTCTATTAAATGAAATTTATTTTTTGATAATTGTTGCTTATCTGGAAATAATTTTGTTTATATACTTACTATTTTTTTTTTTAGTTTACTATACCTATCTTTATAGCATATTGCAAGTGATGTGCTGGCCCCAGAGGCTATGCGGAAATCCCGCATGGTTCTTAAGCTTTTTATCTTATTACAATTTTGTAACATCAGCCTCAAAAACAATACAAAAAAATGTTTATCATTACTTCCAATATGTAGCTTTTAACAATTTTAATAAGTTAAATAAACTGCACTGAGGTTTAAATTAAGATCATGACAGTCACATGGTAATTTTTTAATTTAAAAAAATGATTGCTGATTTTTAAATATATTTTGTAAATAACTGCTCGCAAATTTTAATTTGATTACTATTAATTAATTATTTAAAAAAATTATGCTATTTAAATACATAAAGATTCCCAAATATGAAATTGTTGTTAGTCTAGTTTTTTAAAAGAAATTCCGTAAAAAGTAAGGTGATTTCAATAAGGTGACTTTGAAGCAAGAAAATTATTTTAAACAACGAAAAAAAAAAAAAAGATCTAATTAATGCTTTTAAATGTTTACGAACATTAGCGCAAATACAATTTTTAATGTTTTTTTTTTTATTAAATTACCAATTATTTTTTAAAATGAAATTACTAATTGTTACCAAATTATTTCGTATAACTTTTCTTGTTTTATTTAAAATAATAACACACCGTTTTTGGAACAAAAGTGAAACACTTAAAGAATTCCTAGGTTTACAAGTTATCAAGCAAATTTTTTTTAAATAATAAAACTTGGTATATATTAAGTACAGTATAAAGTGATAATTATAATATTAATAAAGTATTAGTTATTCCTGGATTCAGTTACTTAATTTTTTTAATTAATAAACAGCTTTTGGTAAATAAAATTGTTTACTGGAGATATTAGCCGAATTCTTTATTTTTTAGTTAGAAATATTGATAGAATTTACACTTAACAAATTTACAGACAGTTTTTTATTAACTAAAGCAATAATTAATGTTTTAAGGCAATAATTCAAGAAAGATTGCGATTAAAATGGTCAATGTATTGCAGTGCGCGTTAAAAGACATTGTATTTAATATTTCTCAATTTATGTTATATTTGGCAAATATTTTACGTTAAAACCTGTCTCTTAACATTTCAAATCAAAAACTACCAAAATTGACAATAAATTTTTTTTCATTAAACGATTTCAATTTTAAAATTGACTCAAAAATGCTACACTTTTTTGCAATCTTTAGCAATAATTGTTCAATTTTAAAAGTAAAATAAAATAAGCAATACATGTTTTACAGAATAAATTTCATTAAATATATTCTCGCATAATTACATGAGTTTTAAGAATATTTGTACCTGATGAAAAGTTTAGCAAATAAATGCTGTTAATAAAACTGTTTTAAAGTTAAATAATGCAAAATAATTTTTTTAAACAGAATCTTAATAAGAATAATAATCATTTAATAACAATAAATATAACAATAAACAAATTTATAGCAATGGGCAAGCTTAAAATATCTGAAATATTTTATTTCATATTTTTAATGCGAACATTAAAAAATTTAGAAAAAAAGATAACTGAAGAAATTCTGCAGTAATTTTTTGTTAAAAAAAAAACTTTTATATAATAATAAGTAAATAAATTCTTTAATAATCTATGAAAAAAAAATTCTATGATTCAAAGAATAAAAGAGTTTTCAGATTTCTTATCAAAATTCTTCATTGCTAATTCGTCATATGTTAAAACTCTTCGGAATTAAACATGCTTGAATAAATTATAGTCTGTAGATTGCAGCATATATTTTAAAGACTCAAAAACACACACTAACATGGAGACGGCAAGCTTCGAGTAAAACTACAAAATTAGTTTTTCTTGGTATACATTTACAATTTTGTTTTACTCAAAAAAAATTTAGCCCAAACATTTTTCTTAAACATTCTCTTTAATATGAACACAACTTGTCTCAGCACTTTCCTAACCCTTTAAAAAACAGTTTTTTTAATTTTTTAAATTTTATTTTATCTTTTTCATTTTTCTCAGCAGCAGTTGATTGGGAAGATGAATCAAATGTTTTATCTGACTTAATATGTTTAGCAATAGTAGGAATTGAGGATCCTGTCAGACCAGAGGTTAGCTTCAAATTTTAAATACTTTTCTTTACTTTTATTTAAAAGTTAAATTTTGTATTTTTTAATTTTAATCCATGAACTACTCTAGGTACAGCGTGTTGTTTTAGGTTCCAAATGCTGTTAGACAATGTCAAAGTGCTGGAATCACTGTTTTAATGGTTACAGGTGATAACATTAACACAGCTCGATCTATTGCACTTAAATGTGGTATACTTGAAAAAAATAGTGATTTCTTGGTTATTGAAGGAAGAGAGTTTGACTCAAAGATAAGAGACAATAAAGGAAAGGTTAGACAAAGCAGAAAATTTTAGATAATGAGTTAAAAATAATAGCTATCCTCTATTTAAATGTAATTTTTTGCAAGTTTATTAATAGAAACCTGAACAAACACAAAAACATCCACCATTTATATAAATTTATATACGTATTTATAAAACTCCCAAAATTAATTATGGCCAATCAAAGTTGTGAGTCAACACCTTTACAAGTCAAACTTTATAATAAAAAATTTTAACAATAAAAAAAAAATCTTAAAGCTATTAAATTAGCTTTAAAATTTAAAAATGTTTATAATTGTTAAGTAAAATATAGTTTTAAGACCATAACAATCTTTAGTTCACAATAAAAACGTGGTTTAAAAAAAAAAATTGTGTGAAATTTATATTAATTAAGCAAAAAACACTGAATAATATAAAAAGCTCAAAGTTTTAAATAGATAAAATAAACTAAACCATGATTTTAGAAAAGTCTTCAGTTCGAAAGTTAATTAACTACAAATTAATGAATGAATGAAGTGAATTCTTTTAAATAAAATGAAATAATAACTAGAAATATTAACATTTCTTTTAATGTTTGAAAAATAAAAAATAAAGTAAGTTTATGATTGGTTAGAAAATCTTTGTTTTTAAATATCATGGCAATTTAAATTAATAAAAAATAAATAATCAAATTAAATATCGTTATAATAAATTACAAAAGTTATACTTTGATGTCAGCGTTAGAATGACTTCTTTGACGCAAGAATGCAAAAAGTAGAGTCCAAAATTTAGTTTTAACGTATTGTCTGTTATCAAAGTTTATTTCACCATAAAGTGGAGAGCATTGATGTTTTTGAATCTCTAATGCTTCACAAACTTTCTTATCAAATTTATTATATTCTATAAGTGTTTTAACTTTATATGATTGATTCTTGCGTCAAAGAAGTCGTTCGAATGCTGACTTTAAAGTTTAATTTTTGTAATTTATTATAACGGTCATAATTTTAATTATGATGTTAAAGCTGATGATGCTGGTAACTATAACCTAGCAAAAATTTCATATAAATTAAAAATAGTATTGAGAGAACTCATATTAATTAATGTTTTTATATTTTTAACATATATATATATATATATATATATATATATATATATATATATATATATATATATATATATATATATATATATATATATATATATATATATATATATATATATATATATATATAAAGTAAAAAGTAGTGTAAGAAAAAGAATTAAAATATATATATATATATTTTTTTTATTTCTTTTTCTTTCACTACTTTTTACTTTTTTTTCAGCTACTGATTTCCTTTTAAAAGAATTAAATAATCACGCTTTTTGCATCCGTCCATTTTGTGATTATATTTTAATTTATATTTATTTGATATCTAATTTGATTATCTAATTTAATTTAAATTGCCATGATATTTAAAAACAAAGATTTTCTAACCAATCATAAACTTGCGTTATTTTTTATTTTTCAAATATTCAAAGAAATGTTAACATTTCTAGTTATTATTTCATTTTATTTAAAAGAATTCACTTCATTCATTCATTCATTTGCAGTTAATTAACTCTCGAACTAAAGACTTTTCTAAAATAATGGTTGTATATAAATTAATAAAACTATTTTCTAATTACTCTAGAAATATATTTGTATATTTAATATTTTTAAAATTTACAAAATCAATGCTGCATTTCACACATTGTTGCATTATCTAAACCTCAATCTCAAAACCTAAAGATAAAATTAACCTTTTGTGTATGTTGAAAACATTTATTACTAAATAATATGCAATAAATGTAGTTAGTTGTCATGAAAAGATCTATTAGCTTATATAAAAATAAAGCTAAAAAGCTTCAATCAAAGTTGTTTGATTATTTTTTTGGTAATAAGTTTTAAGAAAATTTGGTTTAGAAAAATGACTAGAAGTAAAATTAAAAAAGTTTATTGCACTTGGTCTCTGTGAATAGTCTAATGTTTGAAAAAAGTTTTGAGTTTTCCACAAAAAGTTTTATATTTTGATTATTTGTCAAATAGAGTCATTTAGAAAAGTAAAATGTTCAAATATGAATTGATTTCAAAATTTTATTTACAAAAGTTTAACCATAGTGCTAATATATTACAAGCACAAAAAATTTGCTTCTAATAGCATAAATTTCAAGGCTGATGCTATTTGCACGGCCGCCGTGTTCCAATTCTAAAAAAGCTATTCGCACGGCCGCCATGTTCTGATTATAAAAAAGCTATTTGCACGGTCGCCATTTTCCTATTTTAAAAAAGCTATTCGCACGGCCGCAAAACCAAATCTTGCAATCAATTTTAGAGTCGCTTCCTGATGATAGATTTTCTTCAAATTTTGCATACATACTCTTGCTTGATGACAATACAATATTCAATAATTAGTTATGCAATAAGTTTACTAATTTAGTTAAATAGTATACTTATTTATGTATTTTAAGTAATTTTAAGTAAATTTTAAGTATTTTAAGTAATTTTAAGTAAATTTTAAATATAAAAAATAAATTTAATTAAAATTAACTAAATTAGTAAACTTATTGCATAACTAATTATTGAATATTGTTTGAATACCTAAACGCGCTTATTTGGTAAAGTTGTTGACTTCGTAAACTTAAGGTCGGAGGTTCGAGTCTTGCCTCTTCCTGGATATTTTTTGTTATTTTACATACGCATACAGTCGAATGTTAATAAAATAAAATAGTATTATCAGAAAAAACTTATTGCAAAATTTGTGTTTTTAAAACATATAAAAGCACTGGGTTTTAAACGTTAGTTTTTAATTTTACTTTTTTTAGAGTTCTATGTAATTACCAAAGCTGTCATTTTTCAGATCTTCCTTTTCAGCTTTTAATTTGTTTTGTTGTACCTGTTAATTAATTCTACAGTTGTGGTGCAGTCCTATTTCAAATTTTGCCAATTTGACCATGAAACACCTTTTCTTAACTGTTTATATGGCAGCCCTGCCAATAGTCATTTTTAAAAGTTGTACACGGCAGCCGTGCCAATAGACACTATCAAATTACAAGCCTACAAAAAGTAAACAAAATACCTACTTAGTGGTATGAACAAATAATTTAGGTTTTATCTTTTAGTTAGTAACTTAGTTTTGTTAAACTATTATTATCTGGCTTTCTATTATTCTTATTATTTTTTTCATTTTTATTAAGTTAATATTTAACTTAAATATTAGTTTAAAGTATTTAAGTTGTTTTTTTTTAAAACCACAATTTACACAGTAGGAAATTAATGTACATGCATTGACAGACTTAAACAGGTAGAACATGCAAGAAGTGTGCATATATCCACTGACTTAAATAGGTAAAATATTTATAGAGTTTACATATAAAATATTAATAACTGTTTACATTGTAAATTACCATTCTTGAGAAAATATGACAAGTTAATTAGTCAAATGACATTCCAAGTGGTAAAATACCAAAGTTAACTGTGGTGAAACAACAAAATAGATTTTACCACAGTAAAATCTAGTGAAAAATGCAAATTGTTAGGTAAAATAACAATATCGTGATTGATTTTATTATTGTTGATTGATTTATTTAAATTTATTAGAACAATAGTAAAGTACACTAAACTACTCACAAGTCCTAAAATAAAATACAACACTGATAACAAGTTCTAAAATCACATGAAATACTAAAACTATATTTACAAAACAAAAATACCACAATATACTACCACAAAAATATAATACAATACCACAGATATGACAAGATTAGCGTATGCAGTTAGCAACAACAGCATTTTTCAAAATTTATTAAGTTAATTTTTTTTTGAAGCTCTTGATCTTTTTGGCATTAACGGTGCTAAATGGCAAGTTATTTTAAATTTTAACAGCTCTGCAGGACATAAATCGATTTGACAATCGATCTGACAATCGATGATTTGAACATTAAGTTATAAACGTTTTTGTTTGTGCAGCTTTGAATAATGAACTTATTATTGAACTTTGAATAATGAACTTATTATTGTTACTGTTGGTAATATTATATTATATTAGTTTATAAACATATTAAAATTATGTTTAATTAGTTTTTATTGTTGTTGTTTTGATATTGTAATTATTTTATTTTTATTAGTAATTTTTTTATTTTTAGTTTAGTTATTATTACTGTTATTTTTCATTATATCTATTTATTATTATTTATAATAATAATAAGTATGATGAAATAAATAAAATAAAATAAAATCTTATTTTAAAACTATAGAGGAACTTTTTAAATTTATGTTTCATTTGCTAACATGATTTTACAGGTTATATATTTCTTATTTTTTCAGCAATAAAAAAATCATAACAATGACTGAACAATTTGGGCAAAGGCTGACATGCAAAATGCGATTGTTAAATGCAGCTAGCTGTTACAAAGCTGCAGCTAATAAATATAAAATGTTTAATGCAAACCAGAAAAATATATTTTAGATTTTAAGAAAGTTTAAAAGAAATTCAGTTTAGGATATCAATGCATGTCATTCCTAAAGGTTAATAAGTATTTTTTGCACTTTTTCAGGTTTTTAATAAGATAGGTCCTCTTGGTATGTCTATAAATAGATAGTTTTTTATAGATAGGTCCTATTGATATGTGAATAAATTCAAAATTTATTTTTAGAATATACTTAAGATCTAATTTCCATTTCTTTACAGTTTTTGAAAGTAAAGTAAATTATGCTTTAAAACCCCCGTCATTAAAATAATTTGTTTTAAATATATTTCGACGTGATTATTCAAACTAATTTTTTTCGTTTGACTCTCCAAACTTCATGCAAAGCAAATTGAAACAAAATATTGTCTAACCAAATAAAAATGCTGTTACTAATTTTATATGGGTATTTAATGTAAAACAATTTTTTATCAGAGTCTTGATTGAGATAATAAATATTCATAATTTATAAACATTAAATATATGGCGCAATAACAATTTATAGCAACGAACCGGTTGCTATAAATTGTTATTGCGTTTTTAAAAAGATATTAAAAACCTCAGAACTTGAGGTTTTTAATATCTTTTTAAATGTTAAAAATAGAAAGAAAAAAAACTAAACAAATACTCAAAAAAATTTTGAATAAAAATAAATAAAAATATTTCCAGAGTTTCATTTGTTAAAAGTCTACCTTGACGTCAAATACTAAAACTTTTATGAATAAAACGCACTTCAAAGGAATTCAAAGTCTGTAGATTGCGGCGTATAATTTGAAGAATCCGAGTTATTGAAAAAAATGGAGAAGGCTAGTTTCGACTAAAACAACAACATTAGTTTTTCTTGGTATGCATTCATTATTTATTTTTAATCAAAAAAACTTGGTTCAGACTTTTTTTTTTTAAATTATCTTTAATATGAAAACAACATGTGTTGGGAGTTTAAGATCCCTTTAAAGGCGAAACTATAGTAGCCACTGGAATTAAAGATCGTTGGTTTCAAGTTACTGTTTTTAATGGAAATATATTCTTGTGTAATAATCTCAGCACTTTTACATACTGAAATCGTACTGGACTGCAGTAAAGTACAGAGGATGGTTTTTTATTAGCCCATAGTGATTTGCCAGGTTCTTCAATATAAAGTTTAATTGGAACAATGCAGGATAAAAATAAAGATTGTTCCTCAACATAACTGATACTTATCTTGTCTTCTGTACTTTGTTTGTATAATGATTGACTGGTTGAACCATCGAATCTTACTTTGCATATAAAGACAAGAATGTGTTTCTCAGGAGCCAATTTACAGATTCAATGAGTTTCTCAGAAGCCAATTTACAGATACAATGAGTATTTTTATTAACCTGTATAATCTGTTTAAAGTGCCAAATAATCAGTAGTTTGTATTCCACAATGAGGTATGCATAAATCTTTTTCTTTCCTAACTTCATTATAAGTTGGATACAATTTGTTTCCTATAAAAACTGTTCCAATACAAATTGTTTGGTAATTGGCTTTACTAAGTTGGTAGTCCAAAATTAAAGCTAATGCTTTCTTTCCAGTATACGATGCTGTTGAATTAACTGCACCATCTTTCTCTAATTTTAATATTTGCTTCACAACAAGTGTAAAAATGTAAATTTGAAGAGTGAGGTGAATACAATCCATTTGGAAAAATTATCCCCCTTAGTATTTTTTTTTTAATAAATAAGATAAACTAAAATGACTATAGTATTGAGGTTAATGTAACTTGGCATCGCTGAACCTTTTTTCCTCTTTTAGTTTCAAAATAACTGAGTAAAATAATTCCTCTTTTTTTTTCTGCTCTCCTCTTTTTTACTTTTTCAGAAGCTTCGGTGAATGGTATAGAATTTGCACGTAGACAACTAATATATATTAAAATATCAGATTGTATTTACTATAAACATTTGCTAAAACACAATTAAACAGTGAAAAACATCATATGTTCATTATTTAAATTTTTATAAAATATCATACCTAAATTGTGAGAAGTAGGAAAGGCCAAGCCCGAGTTTTGGCCCTTAAGTAGTTTATCTGTTTCAAAACATGCGTCACTTGTGTGCAGTTCTTTTTCTAACCAGATTTTATAATGCAACTTAAATCTATCCTTGTCTGTTTACTTTATTCCATTTTTTGTTAAACTGTTTAGAAAATAATTTAAAGTCTATGTCAGAGATCCCTGTAACTTTATAAACATCAGGGTCGGTAACTGATTTGATTAAGTTGTTTTCCAAAGCATAAATAATTTTTGAGTAATTCCTTTATTTTTCATAGTGATTAGTAAAAGAAAATTTCAAGTTAAAAACAAAACTATAGTTTTTTGAAGTTTTTAAATAGGATTTGTATTTTACATAATTAAAAACATTATTGATAATTAGCTGAAATATGTTCATAAATAATTAAGTTCATAATTAATTAATTTCATAAATAATTAAGTTCATAATAATTAAGTTCATAAATTTTAGTAATAAATAATTAAGTTCATAAATGGTTAAGTTCATAAATAAAAAACTCTCATTACTTAATAAAGTGGAATAGCATTATATTTTAATGTTTTTTGTAGTTTCTGTAATTGCAATTAATTATTTAGAGTTCATACTTAACAACAATGTGCTTTGAATAATTAAAAATGACAAACAAGTTGTATGTTTAAAATCTGCTAAACTTTAATTGGCGCAACTTTGCGCAAGATATTTTTAATGAGAAATCCTCTACAATATGAAGACACTGTAAAAAAATTAATCCCGTAGCGGGGAAATGTGGGCAAAAAAAGATCTTGAACCATTTGTGGTAACTTTTTATTATGTTTTGTAATACTTTAAACTGTCATATTTAAAGTTAAAAAAAAAGTCCTAAAATACAAGATTATTTTTATTTGTTAAATTTTCTAAAATAAAGCATGTACTCTGATATTGAGTTTATAAAATTTTAAATATATTTAAAAAAAACTGCGCTTACATGATGAAATTTAATTTTATGAGTATTTTTTCTTTTTTAAAAAAATTTTTTTTTTCAAAGGACAAGCTTGAAAACTTTCCCCAAAATTAAAATATTTAAACGAAAGATTTTTTTATTGTGGGGTATTTACTTTTAAAATATTGCCAAAGAAAAAGTTTCCACAAGTTCTCATTTTCAGTATTTATGAAAATCTCTGGCCCACTGAGCAATGGTGTGATAAGGTCACTTGAAACCCATTATAGAACACTATCTGTTCAACAATTAATAGATGCATAAGGAAAAAAAAAGCTTTTTCTGGAGTTTACTATAATGGATGCCATGCAAATGCTTGATGTTGTTTGGGGATGGTGAAGATCGAAACTATTTGCAATTGTTTTGCTAAAGCTGGAATTTCAGAAAAAATGTGTTTTGATGCCTCGTTAGATGTGGATGATCCCTTTGAGGATCTCAAAGACCAGTTAGAAAAGCTTGCTGTTCATACATTTGAGTTCTTCCCTGAAGGAACAACAGCAAAAGATGTTCTGTGCATGGATAATTTTTTCAACACTGCCGAGCTGATAATGAATGATGAGGCGATTATATCAGACATTTTAGGAGAAGAAAATTTTGAGGTTGAAAAAGATAGTGATGTAGATTTTTTGATCAAACAAACTTGCCCTCAATCAGGTGATTTTCATGCCCTGGAAGTTCTTCGAAGCTAAATGATATTCAGTGACATATATATATATGTATGTATATATATATATATATATATATATATATATATATATATATATATATATATATATATATATATATATATATATATATACATGCAAAAACAGAAAAAAACAACTAAAAATAATGAAAAACAACAATATAAGTCTTATAGATACATATGAACAACTTAGTTTATCTTATATATATATATATATATATATATATATATATATATATATATATATATATATATATATATATATATATATATACATACATATATATATATAAAAGATAATCTAAGTTGTTCATATGTATCTATAAGACTTATATTGTTGTTTTTCATTATTCTTAGTTGTTTTTTTCTGTTTTTGCATATATATATATATATATATATATATATATATATATATATATATATATATATATATATATATATATATATATATATATGTATATATATATATATATATATATATATATATATATATATATATATATATATATATATATGCAAAAACAGAAAAAAACAACTAAGAATAATGAAAAACAACAATATAAGTTTTATAGATACATATGAACAACTTAGTTTATCTTATATATATATATATATATATATATATATATATATATATATATATATATATATATATACTACTTATATATATATATAAGTAGTATATATATATATATATATATACTACTTATATATATATATATTTATATATATATATATATATATATATATATATATACACACTTACTAAAGCATATTTTTATAAGCATTTGCTCACTTTTTTTGCGCACCTTAGTCCATACAGCTTTTTTAGAAAAAGAAGAAAAAAAAAACAAAGAATGATGAATGAAACGATTACTGCCCCATCCCAAACCCTCAGTCGATGTAGCAGCACTCCACTGCGAGTCAGGCTATTTGTCAGTCGATGTATGTACTGAAGCCCCCAGTAGCAGGCTATTTCAGTATGACGTCAAATTGCTTACAATAGTACGCAATACTATTTGTATATATAAATATATATATATATATATATATATATATATATATATATATATATATATATATATATATATATATATATATATATAAGTATAAAAATATAAATATACTACTTGGAGTGTAGTGGGGATCAAACATAAACTTGCTTGTAAAGCAAACATTCTACCGTTACACCACTACTGTAATTTTAGTTAAAAATTGATGATTATGTTTTAAATTATTATGTTGTTAATTGAATAGACAAAAGTTTTTGGCAACATCAAAAAAATTTATCTTAAGGTTATAATAGTTTTTTCTTGGTGCTTTATTGTTAGATATCATAATTTAGATAACATTAGATACCATAAATTGATAGCATGTCTATGTAAATTTAAGAATATTATACAAGTTTTATGATATAAGTTTTTGTTTTATGCAAATTATTCTAATTTGTCAATCTTAGATATTTATGTTAAAATATTTTATGTAAATCAGTCAGCGTTGGGTTTTTTTTTTTTTAATGGTTTCTAATAAAAAGATTTTTTTATAAAACTTAAAGCAAATAAAAAACTAATTTTTTCTGTTAAATTAGATTCAACAAGAGCTTATAGATAATATATGGCCAAGAATTCGTGTAATGGCACGATCATCACCTGAAGATAAGTATAACCTTGTTAAAGGTATAATTGATAGTAAACTAAGCAAATCTAGGGAAATTGTTGCTGTCACTGGTGATGGTACTAATGATGGTCCAGCTCTCAAGAAAGCAGATGTTGGGTTTGCAATGGTATTTTTAGTTTTTTTTTTTTAATAAAAAATGTAATTTTTATTAAATTAGTAAATTAATTTATTAATTGAATAAAAAATAAGTTATTAATTGAATAAAAAATAAGTTATTTTCTTTATAAACAAGTATATTGATAATAAAATTTTAATGTTGTTAAAGCAAATAACTTAAGTTGTGTAACTTAAATTAAATGCTGTTACATTGCGTATTAAAATGTACTGGTTTCTATCAGCATTAAAATTACTAGATTTATGTTGTTACAAAAAAATGAGTTTTTTTCAAAGTATTTTTTCAAAGTTGTAAATAGCTTAATGGTTTTTGTAAATATATTATCCAATAATTATTGCAAGAGAGTGGTAAATAAATGTCTTTAAATAAAAAATATTTTAAAAGAAAAAATCAAATTTCAGGGTTCTTACTGAACCTATTTTCCTGGGTTTTTTTCATGCGTTTTTTAAATTTTTCCTGTTTTCCTGTTTTTTAACCAGTTTTTAAGGCAATAGGCCTGTTTTTTTAAACTCTTATCATTTTTATTTTATAAAATATATGTTTTTTTGATTTAGGACACAATTAAGATAAAAAAGTTTAAAATAAATATGTAAAGTTCAAGTACTACTATACGGAAGGACGCGCAAAGTTGATTTCCTGGCTAGCGAAGGCCAGTCAATATTTCTCACTTAACTCCTAAATATCTAAAATTGGGTTAAACAATGTTTTATAAAATCAAAATTCTGAAATATGACTAAAATAATTTTACGTTATTATTAATAACAAAATCAAAACTCTTTAAAAGATCAATATAAAAAACCTCTATAAAAAAACAAAGAACATATTATTGACACAATTTATTTATAAAGAAATAAACAACAATAAAACATCATATTCTCCAGAGACTTTTTAACAATGTTAAAATTTTTTTTTTTTTTTTTAAACATAATGAACTTAATATTACTTCGTAAACAAATAAAAATACAATATTTGTCAAGTAAAAAATCTAAAAAGAAAGATTCACTACTCAGCAAGGCGTGCCTTTTTAATTGATGTCTGATAAAGACATGCATTTTTTGCTTGGTCTTTATCCAAATTCTGAATTCCATGCAGAAGAACATTTGTCAAACGCCTAAAAGGACTCTTTGATGATAAACCAAAATCATAATATGTATCCATTATATATAGATTGTTTATAAGTCTTTTTCTACAACATGCTCTGTTTTTTGTTTTTTTTCACAAAGCATAAATCAATTCTAACTAGCTGATACACTCATGTTCAAAGGGATATTTAACAGTTCAAGGGGATATTTAACAGTTCCACTGTTAAATATCCCCTTGAAACTTCTTCTATAAAGTCTTTAGCTTCATTTGTTAGTTCAGGTTTATCATCTGGATAAACTAGTTCGTCTTCACATTTTTTCTTAAGCCATCCTGCTACATAGGCAGCAGAGCTCTCTTCAGTTTCAGAAAGACTCTCATCATAAATACATGTTTCAATTGAGGTTGCATCTTCAATACTAATTGGACCCTCACATATGTGACCTTTTTTATTGGGTTGTCCTACTTCCACTGATTCTAAAAATGATGCAGCAAATCTAGCTAAACGCTTTTCAAAAGCAGAGAAAACATCACCAGCTGCCATAAAATCATTTCCCCCTGTTGATTGTCTATAAACAAAAAATTTTCCTTCTATTATAGCTTCTATTGTAGCTCACGAAGCAAAACATAATCAAAACCAACTGAAAACAAATGTTTGCAGACGGCTATCAATCCTTCAGTAGTTTGCACAAGGACTTTTTTGGTATCATGGGTAACACACTGAACTCGTTTTGGTCCATGTCCTGATTCCATACATTTAAATATGTCTAAAAACAATAGAAGATTATTTGAATTTTTATCTTGGACAGATTGGTTGTGATCTCTCAACCTAACATCCTGCCCTTTTGCAGAAATATTAACTTTATTTCATCAATCTAAAATCTGCTGGATAAAAGAGGATGTTTCATAAGCTCCTTTAAGGAAGCTACTACTTTCTCATTAAACACTCTTAAAATATGCTGCACATTCTGTAGTTGAAGTCTCCAAGGATAGACAGTAGCATAGGATAAAGGAACTGTTTTCAAAATGTTCTCTTTCTCGTATTGGTATAGACTTTTCACATCTGAAAATGAAGCTATGGTTTTATTATCAAGAAATAGCTTTTGACACTTTTCAGAAATCCAGTTATTGCAAATACATTTAAGTAGATGAACTGTGTCAAATAAAAAAGAAACCAAACACGCTGATTGTCTAATGGATGAATGGCCTGATTTTCTGTTATTTTGTTAAAAATTTTGCAGTATTGCTGATTGATTTTATGATTATCAGTTACAGATCCTAAAACTATTGCACCATGTTTTTCAACTATAATAGCAGCTTTTATCACACCATTGAACTAATACAATGATGTTAGTTTGTGAACAAGGGTTACAGAAATCATTAAACTAGGTCCACCATGTAAGCATTTCATCATGACACATAACATAGAGGTTGCTTTGGATTCTGGATCATTTCTTGCCATCCCATTTAAAACTCAACATGAATAAGCAACTGTTAGCCTAACTTTTACCTCTTCAACTATCAAAATAACACTTTTCTGTTGATTCTTCTTTACATTTTCAAATATTTTTTGTAAAACATGGTCAATGTTAGTGGCAGAAATTATAGACCGAAGCTTTCGTTTACGTGGAAGGACTAAAAAATCACGAAGTTGATTGTAGTTGCAGTTATAAAAAGGGTCGATTGCAAAGCAATAATCAGCTATAGAGAAACTTTTTTTAGACAAGAGTTTAAGTTGTCTTGTAATAAAATTTTTGTAATAAAATAAGTTTAAGTTGTCGTGTAAAAAAATTGTAATAAAATTGAGTTGTCCTGTAATAAAATTCAATTTTTTTATTTTTTATCATCATTTAATTCAAATTAATTTTCTGAAAGAGTATTTGTCACTTTTTCAATAACATCATTAACATGCAGATTATAATTATGAACTAAATTGATTGCTTCAAAGAATTGTGAATAGAAGATTAGGCCATTGTTTGGATTCAATATATTAGCTAATGGAACAGAAATTCCATGTTTAAAATCTGAAAAGGTTAGTGGTGAACACAAGGTACACTTATCATAAACAATAATCGTCACAAAACTCTCTTTGAAATCTTTTGACATAAAAATGCATATAAATTTTTCGTCTTGTCAAGATATTACTATATTTTTATACTTTTTGTGCAACTCATTGTCAGGATAAAAATAAAAAAACTAATTTATTCTATCTTTTTTGATGAAATAATTCAATTGCATTTCCTCAGGCATAGGTTGGCAAGGCACAGGCTTTGGCATTGGTAAACAAGAAAAAGGAACATTAAAAATACAAGGTGCACATGCTGGTCGAGTATAGCCACCAGGCAGCCTAATCATTTCTGTATTTTCAGGCCAATGTTTTTCACATATAAAAAATTTAGATGAAATTTATAAAAAAATTTATAAAAAATTTTTACGTAAAGGAAGAATATTAATTCATTTCTGTTTCTCAACTTCATCTTTCCGTAATTTAAAAATACGACACTTATTAAGTCTATTATAATTCCCTTTACAATGCCACATTTGTTCACCATGATAATGGTTAAAATTTTTAAAAAAATGTTACAGGAATTTTAAAGACACTTCAACTTTTATAAAAATAATGGCCTTCGCTAGCGGAGTTAGGACATCGACTTTGCGTGTCCTTCCGTATAGTAGTCATTGGTAAAGTTATAAGTTTTTCAATTAAATTTTACTAATGTTACTTTATGTTTAACTAAATTGTTAAAACATGTAAATGTTATAAATTTCTTGTTTTTACTTTATTTTTTGTGTTATGTTAAACATGGATATTTAAATTGAAATTAATAGTTTATTTTAAAGTTTAATATCTATGTTTTCCGTATAGCAGTGTTCTAAATTAAATTGAATTATTCAAAAAAATCAAAACAATTTGTAATTATTGGATATCTTTTCTAGTGTAGACTGTTTTTGTAGGAATGGTACCTATGTTAATAAATTGTTTTTAAAAAAGTTGGATAATGATCTTGAAAAAAATATGTATATATTATTTATCATTATGGTCATGTCCACTGCATACATTTTCCAATGCTTTTTTGGAAAGTTTAAAAGTATTGATTTCTGAGGACATTTATTTGGACCAATAAGCATTTGATTTGCGCAATTTTTTATTTATTTTATGCAAAAAGTATTGAAGAATACTTTGTTGTGGAATAATCGTTCACTGAGCTACATAAGCAAGATATATTAGTGAGAATAATGAAGTTTGACAACTTGAATACTTTTTAAAAGATCTACCGAATTAAAAAGAGTTTAATGATACAGCAGATATTGCAGCAACTAAAATGTACATTTGTATAAAAAAAGCACTAAAATGTGCATTTTTATTGCTGATGGTTTTAAAGGATTAAAGTCCTGTTCCTAAAAAAACAGAAACTTCTAAATGGTTTGCTCTCAAGGTTTGTTATTGATGTTATTCTGCAACCATCCAAACAAAGCCTATATCAAAGTAGAAAACCCTTGACTTGAATGATGCAGAGATTCTAAAGTTAATGTGCATTTTAGACATGCAGATTCAGAAAAGAGGATTTTCTATCAGTAAAAGATTACTCAAAGTAATTCAACAAGAATTCATTGTTTTGTGTTAGGCAAAGTGCAATTATAGAAAAAGTTTGAAGATATTGAGGATTCCATAAAACAGCTAAGAATCTAAATAGATTCTGCCAAAAAACTTGTGGAAGAAGAGAAACAAACTATTAAAAATTTGTATCTAAATTGTCAAGGTTGTATTTATAGATTGCAAACAAAATTGGGACATGAACATGAAAAAAAACTAAATTGATACTGAGAATTGTTTATTAAAGTGATTCTGAAGTGTAAACAAAAAAAATTTAATTTCAAGTTTGTATGGAAAAGTGTCCGCTTTTCAGAAT